CTCCTCTGTTCCAGAGAAGGCAGGGACAGTTGGTCCTTGTTGGATGCTTTCCTTTTGCACTTGGGGAAGGGCTTGATGTATGCATTCCCCCCCCCCTTCCTGTTCATTCAGATAGTGGTAAGGAAGAGGCTCAGGATAAGTCAAGGATGATGCTCATTGCCTTCGCTTAGCCATGTCAGTGGTAAACCACTGATCTCCTTCAGCTGTCTTCATGGAGTCTTCATGCATCTGTCCCCAGGTCTCCTGTTCCAGCAGGAGGGCAGGATCTTTCATCTGGATCCACAGTCTCTTCACCTGATGGCATGGCTGAGCAGTCATGTTCTTCATCTGTGCAGGATCTACTAAATAAATTGCAAAAAGAGTCTACCAGAACTGTTACCATCTAAAGTGGTTCTGATTTCAGACTTGGATGAAGGGGTGATCTGATTCTCCTGTATCTGCTTCCATTCCCTGTGTTCTGGAATACCTCATGTACTTAGAAAATCAGGGGTTATCCACATCATCATTAAAGATTCACTTGGCAGCCATCTCTGCATACCACTGTCTAACTGATGGTAGATCACTGTTTGCTCATTGTTTAATTAAAAGATTTATGAAAGGGTTATCAAATGTTTATCCCTCGGTTAGGGATCCCATTTCTTCTTGGAATCTCAATATGATGTTGGCCGTACTGGTGAAATCACCCTTTGAACCCTTGGCTGAGTATTTTGTGCCATTTAGCTATTAAGATAGCTTTCATTGTTGCCATCACATCAGCCAGGAGAGTGAGTGAGTGAGTGAATGATGCCCACCTTTCACTTCTTTTCCTACAGACAAAGTAGTTCTCAGACCTGATCCCATATTTTTACCTAAGGTAGTGTCTGATTTCCACATCAATCAGTCCATTAATTTGCCTTTTTTTCTTCCTCTAAGCCTCACTCTAATAAGGAGGAATCAGTTCTACACACTTTGGATGTTAGGCTCTTGCCTATTCCTTGGTCAGAATTAAGAGTATTTGTAAATCACCTATATTGTTTTTCTTATGCCAAGAACCCCATAGAATATATGGTTTCTTCCTAGACTGTTTCTCGGTGGATTAAACAATGTGTCGCTGAGGGCTACATGTTAGTGAAAATCCCTTTACTTGCTGCAGCTCAACCACATAAGAACTGTGGTGGCTACTTCCTTCGCCTGTCTTAGGCAAGTGCCGGCTGTTGAAATTTGAAGGCTGCAACATACTTTCACTAAGCACTATGATCTGGACTTGGCTTCTAGTGTGGACACCAGATTCAGTAAGGCAGTGCTTTAGTCTCTATTCAGCTAGGACTCTGTCCCCACCTCCAGGTTAGTTTTCAGCACTTCTTATCAGTCTATCCCATAAGTGGGAATATGCAGAGCCACTCAAAGAAGAAATGAAGGTTACCTACCTGTAACCAAAGTTCTTTGAGATGGGTCTGCATATTCACACTTCCCACCTGCCTTCCCTTCTCTATAAAAGTCCTTGTCATTCTGTGTCTTTGGCTTTGCAGTGGAAGGATCTGGGGTGGTGAGAATGCGCCACCCACTTTATAGCATCGTCCTTGGTAAGTTGTAATGCTGAGGGGAGGGATGAGATGGGGGTGTGGGAACACTCTAGCTGACTGCTAGAGGAGCTTTTTACCGTAAGGCTCCCCAAGGTGGCTCAGTACTCATAAGTGAATATGCAGAGCCATCTCGAAGCGCTCTGGTAACAGGCAAGTAACCTTTATTTATTTGAGTCAGTGACCCATCAGGACATAAGACATTTTACAATTTCCAGTCTGAGAACTTTCCTGCAACCCACAGAAACCTCCCTACGTTCAGAGTGCTGCTTGTCCTTGACTGGTTGGGTATTCTTCACATAATCTTACAACTAGTTTTAATTTTTCTTCAATATTCTGCATTTACAGTCCACCCTTTAAAAAACACTAGTTTTTAGAAGTAATTTGTGCTTTTATATTGTATATTACATTTTCTATAATTCTTCCCACTCTTTATCAATGAGAGTATTTCCATGGAAGCAACTTCTTTGTTTGCTTTTCATTTACTTCTGTTTGTTCTGCATCTGAAGTTGTTATATTATGTTTTTGACATAATTTGTGCATCACATTATATTCAGACATTTACTAATAATACTTTAATATGGAGAATTCCATATATTTATAAGATTAACATTCTATGCCATGTACTGCAAATGCTCATGCTATTGGGAGCCATATGTACAATTTACTTGTATTTCATTATGTACCCATTTACATTGCGTTGCCTTACAGCATAACATTTTACTCTTCTTTGTACACTAGAGCAAGTAGTGCATTTTAAAATCTTATGTTATCTACGGTCTTTGAACAGGTTTGTCCTGAAATATTCTGATGCAGAAAAAGGTCACTGGCCCTTTTTAGAGGTATAAAAAATTGGGTATCAAGAGTGTGTTTTAATATTAGAGGAAATTATATCCAAGACATACATCATAAAGTATTGATTTTTATTTATTTCCTTGTGGTCAGTTGTTTTGCCTTTTTTTTTTTTTTTAGTCAATTTATAATAAGTACAAAAAAGTTGGAACATTTCCACATTGGATCCCTTTTAAAAGGTAATTCTGAAGGTCCATCAGTTCATTCAGGTTTTTGTAGCAAATTTGTTTTTGTTTCTTAAAAGCCATGAATTCTTACTGTGCACTATGCATATAGAATATATTGTGTGTCTAACATTTATCTGAATGCATGAAAAGTTCAGCATGATTTTTTTATTCTTCACATTTGGTACATGTAGTACTGTAAAACTTAGAATGAAAACACCAAAAAGAAAAGTTCACAATTTAGGATAGAAGCAAACAGAGATTAGATGATTAATGTCAAAAGTATTGAAAGGTGCAGATCTCCTAGTATTTTAATACTTAGATGGATAATTATTATATCCTTGTATATCCTGCAATCTGATTGGCAGAAACATGGTCCTTAACAGGTAACCCCCCAATTTTTTTTAATCATGACCTCATTTTTAGCCAGTCAGATCTTTCCATTCCAAGCACATTTACCTTGCCCATAGACACAGAGCTAGACATCTGGCCATGTGATTTTCGGGATAATTATTGTTAGCCACTGCTGCGAAGGTAAGCCCCAGGTGAAAACCTATGGAAGGACTTGTGGGGATTATGTTGAAGCAAAGTACAATGAGGAACATTGAAGGGATATCGCAGACTTACTTTCTCTTCTGAGTTAACTATAAGAAGGTTTTTAATACTGTCTATGGGACAACTCCCATAGTAATAGTTATAGAGGACTTTTACCCTACTCTGGCTGCTGTAGAAAACTGATGTGACCTGAGGTCTAGTTCTCAATGTCTATGAAGTTGCCATGACTATCATTTTCTGCTATGAAGAAAAGAATGTTTCATTTTCAGAGACTGTCATTGGAGTACTGTATACAATTTCTGAAACACTTTGTTTTCCAACAGATTTATTCTGTCGTAATCCATCTTTTGAGCATATCGTTCCAATGGCAATAATGGCTCACTTGTTGGCCCTGTATGAAGAAATAACTAAAATGTTAAGTGTTGTCTACTTGGCTGTGTTGCCTTATTCCTCTTACCAGTCTTTATTTTTAAAGACCAAGAAGTGGGTCACAGTTGCTTACATTATTACTCGTCACTCATTTTGCATCCTGCATGTAGTTTTTCTTAAGAACTGGTGGTGCTTTAAGTTTTTTGTGAAAGTTTGTTCCTATTGTTTTGTGTGATGATTAAACAGTACTGTCAGTTTCTTTAGAGATAATTATTTGACCTTTAAAATTAGTGTTAAAACTAATTTCCCTTTTGGATTCTTAATCTCTTCTTAAAATCCATCGCTCAGCAGCTGAAAAGTTTTCAGAAAAGAAAAATAAATCCATATTCATTGTTTTGTATTAATTTGATCCTTTTATATCCTCAGCAGCAACAAGCTAGCAATTACTTGCCAGAGTTACCTTTCTGTTGGATATCAGCCTATAATGCACTTTCATAAAAAAGACCTATAATTGCAAGTTAGCCACATTGGCTTGTACTACACTTAAAAGTCATGAAAAAGTTGTGGTGATTCATACAAATTGCTTTGTAGCATTATAATGCACAGGGTTGGCAAGCAGCAAAATTTGATGGCCCCAACTGTTTCTCCAACCAAGATTATAGGCCCCCATTCAGCAAAGTATTTAAGCATGTGCTTAATTGCATTGCTTTATTGATACCATATAGAATACCAAAGTTAGAGGTTGTGGTCAAGATTTTCCCTCTTCCTTGCCTTGATCTTCCTCTGTCAGAGTCATCCCAAAACTACAGAGGAAGACCCCACTACATATTATTCCACATGAGTGCTTTACTAACTGCATCTGCTATGGAGTAATTAATGAAACTTTGTGTGATTCTGGTCAGTTCCACTCAGCAGATGAAAGTGCAGGTAAATCAGTTCTCTGTAAGAATACTCACGAAAGTTCCCCTAGGGCTGCTTGAGGTGGTGGATCTGCCAACATTAGGCGGTGGAAGAAAAGTGTTCATTACCCTTCTAATCCATAGAGTGTAAGATTTGCTCAGATCTGTCCAATATCCTGGCTCTGACAGTGGCCGATATCAGATGCTTCAAAAGAACATATTAAAAACCCTAAAGTGCGCAGTTTTGAAATACCCTGTCCATAGATGAAGTTTCTTCTAACTCCTTCAGTTAGAAGTTGGTTTATGCTCTGAAATATTAGGGTTTGGATCCTTTCTAAAACAATGGAAAGTTTAAAAAACAAAAATTCCTTGACGGTGATACTTTTTAAAATGTAATTACAATTGTGGTTAATGAACATGATATACTCTAAATATCCAGGGAAAGTAAAATAGTGGACACTAATCCTTGCTACTGTAGGTGCCCATTATTGTATTGTTTAATTCATATTTGGCTTGGAGGGACACATCAACTGTTCCATAAGTTTCTCTGAACGATCTAATTTATTATGGAAAAGTTAACAGTTTAGTTTTGTTTTCTGCAGAAAATATTACAACTGCTACCTGAGAGGATATTTTATCGATGGCATTTCCACAGTATAGGTAAGAAGAAACACTTTAAAAAAATATTTTAGTAGCAGCTTAAAATAAAAATCCTTTTTCACACTACTGATTTCCTACCCCTCCCCTCATATTTAGCTTGATCATGCAAGAACTCTAACTGGCTCATTTTCCACTTTCCTTGTTGTATTTCCTTTAACCCAAAGTAAAGAAAAGAAAATAACAAACCGTAAGCTTGTACTTTGTTCTCTCAGTTTTCAATCTGTTAGAGTCTGGTTTTGTAAGTGTTTGGAGTGTAAACTTCAATTTGCTGATGTTGGGGTGCAACTCCTGTAACCACTATGCCACTGTGATGTTTTGGGGATTACCCAAACCAGTAAGGGGTTTAGTCACCATCTGTTCTGTAACCTTGGGTGCCTTTATGCTGTGGAGCTTTCATTCAGAACCCTGACACCCGTAGTTTGCCCACAAGCACAAGGTCTCACCCTGGCTTCCACCAGCCTAGTTACTCTTTGCAGAGTACCACAAACAGCTCTTCCAGACCCAAGTCACCCCAAATCCATCCACCCTGCGTTCTTAAGTACTAGACACTTGGACTTTTATCCTCTGCTTTGTCTCCCCCAAAGGTGTGAAACCAGCGCCCCCCCCCCTTCCCCCGCAGACACCAGCTTACTTTGGTGCACACACTACTAGACAGTTTGCATGCCAGAGACCTGCTTGGGGTAAAAATAAACAAAAGGCTTATTAAATAAAAAACATCGCAGATTCAAAGATAAAATAGTATGGAATAGCAAACATATACAAGTTACACAGCAAATAAACATAATGATAATAAACATAAATCAAATTAGATAAACTCCCTTCCCTAATGCAGTTTACCCAAAATCTCTGAACAGTTTCCCAAAGTACCTCCTGCTATAGATTGGATCTAGTGCTTCATGGACAGCACACACAAAGTGATTGTCCCTCAGTTTCTCTATGAAAACAATAATTTAATGCCTCCATTTAAAAAGCCTTCCCCCTCCCCTTTTTTCCCTTCTCTTGAGTGGTGACTCATGTTTGTTCAGAGTGGGGGAAATTCCTTCTTAAGCTGATAGTCAGGAAGTCTCAGTGTTTTCCCATTAATTTCAATGGACTACTATTTGTCTTTTCCTAGGTACTACAATGGTAGGTGTTAGAGCTAATCTCTTCTCGTTAAGAAGGCAGCCCCTTCTTAGCCTGACAGCACCACTAATTATGAGCACAGTTTGCTATATTCATGAATACATAAATTCATAACCACAATCTATATACATATCTCAAATGAACATCAAGTTCAGAACATTACATGCTTTATAAAAGACCTTACTCAACATATTTTTATAGTACAGTATACAATCAGTTGATTCAACTGCTTATTCTTTGGGGTTCAGCCCCCCTGTTCTCCCCTGGGGGTGCCTGAACCTTGATTGTCACAGCAGTATTAAAATATGTGTGTAAAATATGGTTGTTTACCATTAAAAACTTTCTGTTAGTATAAATATAAGCTGGGTAGTAATGCCATTTTCAGTGAAATTTTCAAGGGCATCTTTGTTGTCATAAAAATTCCAGGCTACTGTCCTCCTACATAAATTGCCATGAAGATCCCCACAGAAGGAAGGGCACATCATGCCCTATGAACCACAGAACCATTTAGTAGTAGTAGAAAAGTGCATAGGAAGAGCTCCAATACCAGCCCTAGAGCTAAACATTCTTGAACCTTCAGCTCTTAAAGGCTCCATTCAGCTACAGTCCTCAGTTCCTTTTTCTCTCCCTGCCAAAGCAGTCACAAAACCCTTCAGCTACGTCCCCTGATTTATTTTACATTTATTTATTTATTTATTGGTATTTGGCTGTCTAGTTTCTTCTTTTGCCACAAGGGTTATTATATAGTTGTAGCTTTTATTTCCAGGGATTTTTTCCCCCCAAATAGTACAAATCCTGGGCATCACAAAAAGAGTGAATTTCAAGGCTCATGTCTTTAGCATTTGTATTTAGTACAGTGATAAAAGCAGGAAAATGTCAGCCAGAAGGTCTGAGTTCTACTCCTGATTCTGTTGCTGACTTGTGGAGCCTTGGGCAGATGTATTAACCTCTCTGTGCCTGTTTTCCCATCTGTAAAATGGGAATAATACTTAGGCATTCTTTTGCAGAGTTCTTTGAGATTCTTGGATGAAAAGCAGTACAGTATCTGTGACCTAATCACTGAAAGGCAAAAAGTAGCACACAAGATGACGCACTCTGAGGTAGTTTCGATCCATAAAGCTATTAATGGATTAGAATGACAAATAGAGAACTTTCATCTGTGCTTATAGTAGAATCTGGCTCCAGTATGTTTTGTTGTTTATATGAAACCCTATCCATTTTCTTCAGACCAACACTTGAAATTTCAAAAAGATAAGTTGCACTTTTCAGCCTGTATAAACTGAGAAATATGGAAATTAATTTGCCATTATCTTTTTGAAACTTCATGCCTCCGGGATGAGCAGATCTGAAAAATCTTTGTTAACTCCTTGCACAACATCATGTTCTTGAAAAAATAGAATGGAGATTACAATATGAGAGAGGGTTTTGCTGTATTTTGTGGCACAATAGCACCTGTTTTGCAAGCTAGCAGTGTTGTGGTACAAACTATGTGGCATACTACATCTGAAAAAACAAGTAGCATGCCTTTTGTTGGATAGAAGGATGGGGGCAAGAGCAGGGAGGGGGGTTGAGGGAAGAGTTGGACAGGAGGGGTGAGTGAGAGGGCAGGAACAGGGGGAGAAGGGATTGGCTTGAGGGGACAGGAGCCAGGATGGGTTTGGGGAAGCAATCCAATAAGGGGAAGGTGGTAAGGAGCAGGGATGGAGCAGATAAATACAGAGGGGAACAGACACAAACAGGTTGGAGGCACAGAGGCAGAAGGGTCTATAAACCACTTGAGAACGTTCTCCTATAGAACCTGGAATTACACCCGAACCTGGAATTACACCCAACCCTGTCTGAACTTTTTAGATCAAGTGGGAAGTCCGTGTTGTGCATCTAAAGATCCAAACCTTGCTGATGACCCCAAGGGCGGCAGGGGAGTGTCAGTATGCCTCCACATGATGATATTTCAAGGTTTTTTAGTTAAGAAAATTACATTTTTAAAAACTACATTAAAAGAATGTTAAGGTTGCAAAGCCTAACACTCAAAAGTTAGGAAATGCCAGAATTAAGGTGGCCTGTGAAATCTTAATTCAGCTCCTGTGTGCTTATGCATTATGATAGCCTTTAATACATGAACACATAATATGCTTTCCATTGGACCCCTGTCTCATTCAGTGAATAGGTAGTTAGTTATTCAGTATTGCTTTTTATCCTCCTCATTCGCTGTGTGGTTCTAGGTCTTATTTAACACAGGCAATTCAAACCCTCCACTGAATACAAAATTATTCATTTCCTCCTTGACATGTCGGGTGCTCTCACCGTAGTATCCAAGTGCTTCACAAGCATTAATGAATTAATCTTCACAATGCCTCTGTGAGACTGGGTGGTAGTATTGTCCCCATTTTACAGCTGGATAACTGAGGCACAGAGAGAATAAGGCCCAAATTGTCAAGTCTCCACTAATTATGGATGCCGTATGTGAGACACCTAGGGCTTGACTTTTCAGAGTACTTAGCATTTTTATAACACTTAATATGTTGAAAGCACAGCTATAATGACCTTCAGTTAAAGTTGTGTATGCCCAGCACTTATGAACATCTGGCCCCAGGTATCTTATGTGGGCACCCAGAAAATGAAAAACTATGGTAGAGACAGAGATAAAATTCCATTATCCAGGACAGTGTTTAATAACCTCAACCCTTAGAACATCCTTTCTTCGTTTTTCCTTTCCTTGCCTTGTGCCACTACACACCTTCCAACTTCTGCAACAAATGAGGAAAGGGTCATTACAGTCAACAGCCTCATATTTTACAACCTTGATTAGTTCCCAGAGCACTCTCCATCTCCTGTACTGAATGAGGCTGGGGTCCTATGAAAAAATTGTATGTAGTCATGCAATTAAAGACTGTGTATCATAATGCGTAAGCACAAAGGAGCCAAATTAAGATATCATAGGCAAACCTAATTCAGGCATTTTCTGATATTTGAGTGCTTGACTTTGCAACGTTAATGTTTTTAATGTAGTTTGTTTATTTAATAAACATAAAGATATAGCACAATATGGCTAACAAGCTAATATTATTCTCTTGTGTACTGTGGAAAAGCCAATAATAAAATGAGGCAGAAATAATTTTTCTGACTAAATTTCACAGCTTGAAGGGACAAGCTTTTCTCAGGTAGTTCAGGGCTCTAAACTGCAATATTTGTAAGCCAAACATTGTGGCTTGTGTTAACGCACGAGAACCAGAAAGCAAAACTGATCATTGTTGTTTCATTGACCTGGATGAATTAAGTAGAGTAAAGAGAGACCATAAATACTGAAATGTAAATTAAATTTTCAAAGTTCTTTAAGTTTTAATAATCTAACTTGTTTGTGACACGGGAAGGAAACTTTAACATATATATTTTAACCTGATGGTGTCCCTGTAAATTAATTTGAATATGTCAGACTTATTACTGCTTTGAAAATGAAAAACTATACTTCTGATTAGCACCAAAGCAGTCAGAACATTTACTGTTCTGTTTATTGAATATAATTTGGACACATGGCACATTTTTAAAGCACTGTTCTTTATTTGGGATTTCAACTCTGATTTTGCTGTTTCATCAACCAGTGTGTTTTCTAGCTGAGCAATGAATTTGTGATGGCAGCAGAAATAATGGGTGGAAATGAAAGGTCAAGGAAAGGGCTGTTGTCAAATTTCCAGTTAGCACATACAAAAATAAAAGGAGACATCTGCTTGAACTACTTCATTCTAATTTCCTGTAAATTTGAACAGCATAAATTGGGTTTTGCTCAGACATTTTGTAACTATTGTATTGTTTTGATTTCAGTCAAAAAGTCATAATTTGGGAAATTTTTAGCCAGCTTCAATTAATGGGCAAATAAACTTGATGGCACATTGATTTGTGCATGCACATTTGTGTGTACAAATAGTATTTGCACATGCAAATGGTTTGCTTTGACAAACAGTTACTTAATGTTCATGTGCACTAACAATAAAGATGCAAATGTATTAGGGCAGTAGGTTTACTATTGTGTTGCAAAATGGTTAAATTTTGTTCAGTAGGGCATAGAGTACCATGTTTAAGTAATGCATTTAATAACAAGCCACGGATGTGTTACTCTTCCACTGAGAGATTATTTTTGAGAGTTCAGCTAATGATATTCTGCACTTTCAAATTTGCTCTGATGTTTATTAAAGTATTTTATGTTAGTTGACTGGCATTTTCAAAGTTGTCTAATTCTGGTTAATACAGTCTTTTTTTAAAACAGTTTTTAGTCTTGTTCTCTTAGTTGTTCGTACATCTGCAGGCCTCCTAGTGTGTATATATATATTTTTTTTCTCACCAATTGTTGTCAGTATTAGTTCTTTTTCTGTTCCCATGCTTCTCCCTTCCCCAAATGTCAAAACCATTATAATCAATTTTCCAGTCAGTATACCATAATGTGAACTGTGGGCATGAAATATTAATACAATAATTAAAAAAAGATATAAAATTATAAATTTAATGGGTCAAAGTAACCAGTTGTTCACTGATAATATTTTTAAAATGAGAGGAATCTGAGTAAAACAAAGTAGACTTCAGATAAAAAAATCAAATTTAATGTTCCATCTTTCTGTTCAACAGAACATATAATATGTTAGCTACAACATTGCTAATTCCCCACAGGTATTTATTTCTTAAATGAACACATTGCAGTAGTAATATTGTTTAGCAGTATTTAAATGGTCTGTTGTGGTAAAAATGCATTTTTGACAAAAGCAGACAGCTTAAATAATTTTAATGTATTTTCCTATTTCATTTTTCTAATTTCAGGGTCAGTTTTGAAGAAACTTTTGCACACTGGAAACTCTATTAAGGTATTTCCCTTAGATGACATATTAGTGTTTCTTGCTACTTTTAATTCCAGAGCTACCAGAGGTGTTTGGCCCCTGGTTCAAGGCAGAGCAGCTTCAGGACTACTCTAACTTATGGTGGCAATATTGGCTTTCTAGCGACTATTACATTGGCCGGATATTGGCAGAATGCAGCAGTACTCCTGAATATGTCTCTAGCACGCCCTCAGTGCTGCCTCTAATATGGTCGGAGGGCTCACTGGAGAGTGATGGGAGTGAAGGTGCTTATCTTCATATTTTTGAAAAAGCGTTTTTTACTTCTTTAAATATTCAGTATTTTTACTGTATTTTCCTGTTTATATCAATGTAACTTTCTACTTTCTTTTCCTTTTAGATAAGATGTGAAGGAATCCGACTATTTCTTCTTTGGCTTCAAGCACTTCAGACAAACTCCACAGAGGAGCAAGTGTTAATTTTTGCATGCCTAGTGCCTGGTTTTCCAGTGATCATGTCATCAAGAGGTCCCTGTACACTGGATACACTCATTAGCCCTACTCCTAATTTGCCTGATGGTAAGTAAAATCATCAGAATTAAAGTGCTGAATATATAGCCCTTTCTGGCTGCTAATTCATAGAATTACAGATGTTGCTAATAGGGGAAAATATCTAATAGATCATACTATCCATCTCTGTAAATCAGTGAACCAGAGACATGTCGTATTGAGATTATTATCTATTAAAATATTTTCATAGCACTGTATCCCTGTAGTCTTGTAGTTTCAGAGTGAAGAACGTTTTTACGTTACTTAGTGTTAAAGATATAGAAAAGAAGTCGCCAGATCTCTTTGCACTGCTTTGCTACTTCCTGCTGGTCACTGAGTGTAAGTAGATCTAGACAGTTCTGTTCAGTATAAAATTTAAAAAGAACTTGAATACTATATAGCTAGTACTTATATTTAGGTGAAAATTGCTTTCTAGATGCCTATAAGTAGAAAACGAATCCCAAATTATACTTCATATATTGTCAGCATGGATCTCATATTTGAGATCCACCATGAGCACCTCGACCTCTTCCCCTCAGAGATGGAGAGGCTTTGTTTGTGCTAGCAGGGAAAAGAAAATCCTTGGGGCCCTTTAAGGATTGCTCACCCTTCCTCTCTCCTTGTGGGTTTGGGAGGGATTTTTGTTAACTGGCTAGATTGAAAGATGCAGTGGAAGCCTATGGGTTTCTGTGCATTAGAGGGGAAGTCTTATGAGTCCTTGTCCATCCCCGGGATGCCATTCTACATGTGGGGTATCGGGTTTCTAGGTCATGGTGTGACCATCACACTAATCTCTTTTTGGATCTGGGAAGGAATTTTTCTCACTAGTAGATTGGCCGGGTAGTGTGGGTTTTTCCACTCCCTCTATCAGCAGTCCAGTGACCTGGTGGGTAGGTTAGGTTGTAAAGTGTTCATGTTGTCGCAACTTGGCAAGTGTCCAGAGCAGGTACTTGTTTAGTAGGGGTCAAGTTCCCTGATCAACTGAAACTTAAATCAAGATTAGGGGAGGGTATCCCCTAAAGGAAGATAAAGCCCAGATAAAGCCCTGCAAAACAGATGAGTCTTTCAGCCTCCCTGAAACTCTTGAAATCTGGACTCTTGCAGACCAAACGGCAGCAAATTCCAGAGTTTTCATTTAAGGACATTTAGATTGATCCTAACTATTCAAGTGAAATGCAAGAATCATCTCTTTGCTAAGGTCTTTCCACAGGAGGAGTCCACAGGCTGTAAAGGGAAAAGTTTAGCAGGCAAGAAGAAACAGTGGGGATGGAAGAGGAGGAACAGGAGAAGGAAAACTTAAAAAATGCATAGTATAAGAGGGAGGGGCATCTGTGGGAATATTACTTTCTGGGAAAGCGCTCAGTGCCATTCTTAATTGTTAAATTGGATACTTTACTGATATACTTCAGATGGATATCAGGGATTATTGATTCCATACACATCCTCTCACTGATCTGAACAAAGGTGTATAAGGGACTGTGGTTCCAACCATCGTTAGTTAATCCCTTCCTTCTATTATTTTTTCAGTTGTTGGCAGTCTTGTTCTTTGTTAAGAGCTAATATGTCTAGTGTTGTCAAGGCTTCATATATTCTGTAGTAAGGTCCCTGAATTCTCTGGCACTCCAGTGGAAATTTTCATTATTTAGTGACAACTGCAGATATGTTTTAAAAACAGAGGTTTAAATTAAAACTTAGTATAAATAATAGACCTTGTGTTATTCATTTCAGTATTAAATTCAGTTTATGCTGTTCTCACATTGCTAGTGTGCCACAGATTATCATCTTTAATTTTCATAGTTAACAAGGTATTAAAATGAATTGGGCAGTTCACATCTGTCAGAACTACTGTTTCAGGCTATCTGCAAACTCAGACATCACTGCATCAGTTCTCACTCAGTTCATTATTTTCAGGATTGTCACTACTGTGAAGGTTAGAAATTCCTCTCTCGATAAATTGGTCTCATACAGGAAAAATGTGTGTTAGGTTTTGGTGGTTAGGGGGCCAGGGCTGATGCTGTTTCTAGCTATATATTTTGGGGCGTGGGTAGATATGAAAACAATCCAGCTGACTAATGGAACGTGGCTTTGTGCAATCAGTAGCTGTATTTATACTATAATATTTTATAGAACATGACTACATCACAAATTTAATTTATTTATACCACTATTTTAAAATTTTAATCTTTTTAAAAAAAATCTGTCTCTGTATTTTAGCAAAGATTTATCCTGAAGAAATAACTCCACTTCTGCCAGCTATCTCTGGTGAAAAGGTTGCTGAGGACCAAACCTGCTATTTTCTTCAGATATTGTTAAAGTATATGGTAATCCAGGTGCGAAAAGAATAATTGGTAAACTCTTTAATATGTGGGGGAACATACCTGTGGTGGGAGTTTGTTTTCGTTGTTTCTACTTGTACAATATTTTTCAGATGGAGGTTACTGTCATCCAGAGAGTTGCTTATTTTTTATAAAAGAAAAGAAGTCAAATATTTTGTTGTGGCTTTTGTATTGAAATTAGTTATTTCTATCTCAAATAAGTAAAACAAGTAAGGGATGATGTTATATTGTGGGTTTTTGTGGGTTTTTTTTTTTTAAAGCTTTAGTTTATATCCATAAAGAAGGTTTCTCACAAGGTAAACAGTTTCACACAAATCCCTAGTCACTATGCTCCAGCATCTGACATCAGGAAGCTGATTTCAAAGCTTAATTAATTTTGACTTTTCATACAATAGTTGCACTTTGCACGTATCTCAAAAGCTGTTAATAGAATAATCCCTCTCTCAGCCATCAGTATTGCTAGTATGATAAGAGGTGGTCGACCCATTTCAGTGAAACGATTCAGTCATAACTCTTCAAATTCCTGTTGCTGGTTACGTTACAGAATTCTGAAGAATTCTAACAAGTAATTTACTCTTCATGTAACCTTTGAGGAAGGTCATCCTGTTAAATCAAGATAAAGCCAAGTAGTTATGAAATGGATTATAGTAAGCCACACCTCTGAATTAATGTTCTCCACAGGACTTCATTCTATATTGTCTCCTATTTTACCTCTTGTCTCTAAGGATGTGTGTACACTGCATCTGGGAGTGAGTCTCTCAGCCTGGGTCCACTGACTCATGCTAGCATGCTAAAAATAGCTGTGTAGACATTGCAGCCTTGGCTCTGAAGCCTGGGAGGACTTCAGAGCCTGAGCTCCAGCCTGAGCCACAACATTAAAGGATCGTCTACACATCTATTTTTAGCGTGCTAGTGCAAGGCTTACTAGCACGTGTGTGGACCTGGGCTGGGAGGCTTGCTCTAAGATGCAGTATAGACATATAACCCAGGATTTCAGCAAAGCTTAGAAAGTTCATTGGCTGCTGATTTAGTAGCACCCATGGCTGTGACCGGTTTGTTTTCTTCAGCTAGATAGTTGCCACAGCAGGATTTGGTACTGATGTTGACAGTGACTTGGACATTTTTTAAAAAATGGACTTTGTTTAATCTGGAATCTATTTTACATATAAATGGACCCCCTACCTTTTAATTAGTCATCTCAGATAGATGTTTTACTAAGGGCATATGATGTCCTCGAGAGTTGTTGTGACAAAGGGGGGCAGGGTTTGCTGTGAAGACAGGAGCCAGGTTGTTCTTCATGGGACAAGGCAGTCCAGAATCACTAGTCTTCTCACTATACTCTTCCTCCCTCTGCTGCTTGGTCCCAGCTTTCTATCTCATAATGGGAGCAGTTCACATCTGTTTTAGGCCTGGTCCAGCACACTTCAAATTTAGGTCAGCATAAGTACGGTGCTCAAGGCTCTGAAAAATCCATACCCCAAGTGTTGTAGCTGTGCTGACCTAACTCCAGTGTAGATGCAGCTAGATTGATGGAAGAATGCTTCAATCAACCCACCTACCATCACTTGGGGAGGTGATGTTCTTTCAGTGGTGGAAAATCCCCTTCTGTTGTTGTAGGCTGTGTCTACACTACAAGGTTACATCAACATAGCAATGGTGTTATGCTGCTATAGTCCCCATAGTGTAGACATGGTCTTAAAGGTGTTATTTCTGGCTATCAGCAGATCCAAGAAGGTGCTCAAAATTGCCTTTTACAGCCATCTTTATTTGTCAGTCAGGCTGGGTGTTTTAATTCCCCAATGTACAGTAAGTGAGGAAAGGAGGAGAGGCCATGGGACTATTTGGTTTGATCAAAATAATCTTATGTGTATGGGTTTGCATTTAGAATGTTGGTTAGGGGGTGTAGATATAACTTGTTCCTTGTTAGTGATACACACATTGATGAAAACAGATACTAGGAATGAGTGGAGAAGAGATAGGAGTGGAGAGATTGAGATTTTTTTTAAAAGGATGTGAATGCTGATTTAAATCAAAATTTTAATTAAAAAATAGATAAGACACAATAGTGTCTACATACTCTTCCCGTAGGAGAGAAGAATAATGAAAGTATTCTAAAAATACAAAAATTGAGATTAAAACAAAATTAAAGTAAAATGAGGGAGTGAAATATTAAAAAGCAACCCTAATAGAACAAATAAACATATACAAATTAGGTGTTAAATAACTCTAATATTTCCTGTAAAAAGAACTAAGGTAATGAAAAACTAAAAAGTGGAAAATTGATATTTTATTACAGGAGATACGTTTTAGGAAGGTTATGTGAGCAAAATGGTAAAGGTTTTAAGTGTTTGTGTCATCTTGCTTAAAGTGCAGTTTTACTGCACAAAGTGACTATGTAAAAATGATACCCTTCCTACTCAACAGAACTGCTCCCTTTATGTATATAAACATCCAACATACTATGGTGCAAAAATATGTTCAGTGTTTTTTTTTTTTTTTAAGCGCTGTTGGCCCTGCAAAGCCAAAATACCTTAGGACTGTGTGCACTGCAGATTCTGTTCCATCTTGGTTCATAAACAGAAATGTACATTACATTCTGATCAGTTAAACTTGTGGAAAATGGTGTTGCACTAGTGCAGTTGAGGACCCAGTTTGGCTGTACAAACCTTTTTTAATGATGGTGATGGATGAGATGAAAAGCACTCATTCAGAGTACGGAATGAGCTGACACTTAGGGAAAAGCTATGCTTTAGGGAAGAAAGCAGTAGACAAACTCCCTAATGTTTAACGGGACTAAAGGCTGCACGTATTTTGAAGAGTCTTCTTTGTGGGGAACAAATTTTTATGTCTTTGAATTCAGACCACAATTTTGTTGTTAGCTTTTTGGTTTTTGATTTTTTGGAGAAAGGAGAGCTGATGCGTTGTACGTTAATTAGCTTAAGTACATTGTGTAATTGGAACCAAAAGAATGGCCCAGTTAGTTTATAGCATGTAAACTGAGAACAGAGAAAAGTTAACTGATACCCCTGATTAAAGATGCAAAATAGAAATAAAGTTTTGGCAAAAATACACACTTTTAAACTGAATTTTGTTTTTGAAACTAAGAAAAGCAGCGTAAAGTGGAAGCAATCAAGAAATATTTAGTGGAAATTCAGCTGACTATGTCAGATGACTTGAGATGGCCAAAGAAAGCAATCACTGGACAGTAAATTTTAAAGGCAATCATGAATTTATATTCTTCTGCAATATTTGCAGCATCAGAGCAAACAGTAATTTTACAGACATGAATAAAGTACACATTGTGTTCAGTGATGCTACTCAGAAGTAGGTTCATTTTATTTTATTTATTTAGATTTGACATTATAAAAAGAACATGTATACAAAATCCCTGAGTACTCTGACAATAATTAGACTTACAGTAACTACACGGTGGCATTAATACATTAAAATTGACTTCACCAACCTAAAATAATCAAGTAGGAGCAACAATTTACTTCAGACAGTAGACGGTAAAAGAAAAACTCCAGACAATACTTTCACTCCCAAAGCTTACATGTGTAAGTATTTGCAGAATGAGGCCTTGCAAGTTACAGGATCTCTGGTGATTTTGGAAGTTTTAAAAACATTTAATTGGGATGTAGGCTCATTATTGATGAAAGTGGGAAAATGTAATTGGACTATGGCTGAAGCACACAAATCAAGATGGAAAGTAAAGGAAGAACCAGTATCCCGTCATAATTTTAGATGTGAAAATATGAAGATGACTAGAGTTGATATTTCCTGGTTTGGTGTACAGGGATCAGGTGGACTTTTGTGGGAATTTGAAAATAGAAAATTTTCAGTTACTGAGAATTTTATTTGCTCTTGAAACTGCTTTTAAAAAAGGGGGGCAGGGATTGAGTCAAGTTGAAAGAATGTGCCTCAGAAGAATGGTAAATAAATTAAACTGGTTTGGTATTTACATGGTGTGAAATTGATATGAGAGATCAAAATCCACAAACAGGATTGAGCAAGTAGAAGTCTGTCTCTCCCTTATTGCGAGGATGTCTACCTTCACCATTCTTCTTTGCATCCATGGCACAAATAATTAGAGGAAACGAACACATGTAGGGTTTTGTGGTTGGAACATGCTTACTATTTTTAACATGCCTATATTTCAGTGAAAAAATCACCACAGTCTTTAGCACAATTTAGCAATGTCTGTACCAAGATACTGCAGATCAGGACTGATCAGAATGGTACGTGGAAGCTCACATAATGTGTGCTCACAACACCTGACGCTCACCAGGACTGACATACTGAAGCACTAAAAAAAATCAGATTTTGCAGTCAGCTCCCAATGCCAGTGGCAAGTACGTATGGCTCAAGATTGAGGCTTCCTAAGGTTATCTTGTATGTGCATATGCAACCCCATTAATGACAGGAGTTGGTTATGCTGATTATGAGAGAAAAATATACCCTGGAGAGACTAGTAGCTTCATAGAACCCTACTTAGAGGTAAGAAGCTTTGTTTAATCTTAGTAAAATATTTTAACAAAATACAATGACATTAATTTATGACATTTATGTGAGTGATTGGATTATAACAGTATAAGTGTGTCAGCTTTTAATGAACTTCCTTTGTGCTTGCTTTTTAAATGACCTGGCATGCATAATTTTTTTTCTTATGCTCTTATTGTACTCTGTAGAGCTTTGGAAATAGAATACTAATATTTCATATCTATTATTGAAGTGTTGTTTTCCATCTTCCACATTTAGTAAAGCAGCATTTATCATCAACATGGAGACATTTTTAATAGAATGTGTATTAACTTGAAACATTTTTTTTGACTCCATGGCAAAGGCTGCAAGCTTAGAGTGGAAGAATAAGGAGAACCAAGACACTGGTTTTAAGTTTCTCTTCGCCTTGTTTAGAAAGTATTATCTTCCTCACTTGTTTCCATCTTTTACAAAACTAACCAACCTCTACAAACCTGTGCTTGGTAAGTAGTGAGTTTTACTTTTAAGTAGCAAAAATATTTGGTGGTTACTTTCTGTAGTTTCTTTGTGATCATTACAACTATATCTGCTGAATATATGCGTGACACTTGTTATTTTTAATGGCTTATAAGAAAAAATTATTTTCTCTAGTACTATTTTAGATTTCCCTTTTGATATTAACATATGGGTGAAACAGATTGTTAAGATAATTGTATTTATTTTGCATTTTTATCAAATTATTAGGTGCCATTCATTTAAAAAAACAAACCTTGATCTTTCACATGCAATCACAGATATTAGTTCCATGGGTTATTTAACTGTTGCTTTAAGGAAAAACGGGTTGTAATACTTCCATGGTTGGATTCAATCCCTCATGCCCCCTGGGAGGAGTGGCCCGAACACAGGAAGTTTTTTGTTTTTTGTTTTGTTTTGTTTTTAACTCCATTCCCAACATGTGGGCTGGGGCCAGTCCTGCATTCCTTGAACACCCAAAACTTCCATAGCCTTCATGTTGTTTTAGGTTAACAAAGAACGTGCACAAAGATAGTAAAATACATGATACAGGGTAGATGTTGAAAGAATTATTAAGGTGCCCAAAAGCCAGATATTATTTTTGATACAAATAAAATCATGTTTATTTTATCTTCTTCATCTTTGAAGGGCGGGGGAGAGCGAGAATGGCATCTTAAGGATATGTCTACTCTTTGATCTGGGGTGTGATTCCCAGCTTGAGAGACATACCTGTGCTCGCTCTCATTGAGCTAGTGTGCTAAAAACAATGTAGCCTGGGTGTCAGGAGAAGCTAGCTGCCCTGAGTGCATGACCATGAGAGACGATAGGCAAATGCTCAGGTGGCTAACCTGTCCCACTGCTCGCAGCTCTGTGACTACACACTGTTTTTAGTGCGCTAGCTCAATGAGCACTAGCACAAGGATGTCTCCTCAAGCTGGGAATCGCACCCCAGCTCGAAGTGTAGACACACTGTAGCACAGTCAGTGGAGGCTGAGATGTCGATATGAGTACAGATGTGCTGTGAGCAGGGGTTAGAGCTGCAGAGCCAGTCAAAAAATCCAGTTGTATGATTAAAGGCTTCCGTCACTCTAGAAATGTTGAAATCCTTTTATTTTTGAGCTGTTCCTAATACACCAATTAAGTGGTGCATTGGAACTCAAGTGCTGGTGTTTGAATGGAACCAAAGCCATTAATACTTGACCAGTATTAATACTCCTCCTCAACATCCTCCCTGACTGTGAACCTTCTCCTCTTCAGTCTATCCAGCATTTAGCAGCTAATACAATCTTACTTCACTGCCACTTCAACCATGTTATTCACCCCTAGAAACCCTTCACTCCTTCTTTTTTCACAACATTCAAAGTACTCATGCCCACTTTTAAGCCTCTGCACAACTCTGCCCCGCCTATGTTTTACCTCTCATCTATATAGTTCCTCTCCTGTGTTTTGGTTGTTCTTCACACCTTGAGCCCTTTGCCTTTTCTCCACTTCTTCTGTGCTTTTCTCACACTGCTCCCTGCACCTGAGTTGATCTCCCCTTTCTAGTGTGCCTTAGCACATCCTTTTTTCTTCCTCAAGCCTCACTCCTTCCACTTGGCTTTGCACTATTTGACTGCTCCTGATTTATTTACTTCATCCCTCTTTACCCTTTTCTCAATAAAAATGATCAGAATTTAAAAGATAATTTTACATTCTACTGTGACTCATATTCTTACTTTAAAGTCTTGTCCCTCCCTTCCCTATCCCTTTCTTTTGTTCGTTGCTTGCATTGTCTGCTATTTATCTGGTATGGATTAAGTTCTTCAGAGCAGGAGCTGTGCTTTTTTTGTCTTGTTTCTCTCCAGCACCATTCAAAATGATGGCAGTATATAAACATATATTAATAAGAATAATATTAGGCGTAAGCAGCTGGTGCATCACATTTATTATTTCACATGGAGAAAAAATGCTATAGGTCTAATGTTCAATTCATTTCACCAAGCAGTTGTTGGTTTTTTTTTAAAAAAAGATTTATTTATATTATCTGTTTAATCTCACCATATATTCCTGACTTGAGGCCAAAACCAGCATACATTACTGCAACTCGGAATAATGAAAACATCTACAGCACGAAAATCCCATTCATGGCTGCTCGTGTTGTTTTTATTAAATGGCTTGTAACCTTCTTTCTTGAAAAGAAGTACTTCACTTCAGTGCAGAATACTAAAAATGGAGGAGAAATGCTGCCTAAAATCATTCAGGTATGTCATAAACTTGTTTCCTTATGTATATGCTAGAGAAGCTGCAGATGATCAAAATATATTGACAACTGAAACAAAAAGGAAATGCTCTGCTTAGGTGGGTGAATGATGGAGTTTAAATTAGCTTTCCTCTGATGGAGGAGTGAGTCTTTGGAGGAACACTTTTAGCAATGTACCGGAAAATATTTCTGTAGCTGTTTGCCCTTTGCCTTATTTAAAGAGGAAAAGCAACCTTCTGAATACAATATAATCTATTAGACATTCTTGTTCTAAACCCGATGTTCTTGAACTTTTTTTTTATATTGCAGACCGTTTCTCAATAGAGAGAGTATCTTGATGGCCATCTTTAATAATCCCACAACATCTTTACAACAACTTTAGCAGTTGTTTACAGTGAAATACTAGGAAAGTATTTAATGTATTTTTAGCTTCTTTTAATACAATTTAGCATCTGGAAATGAGGAAAAACAGTACCCATATGATCCACCAGCAGTCTCCAGAGCACACATTTAATTTACAAGTTACTGTTTCTAATCTTGCCAGGATTGGTAGCTTCACACACCAAGAGTTTCATAGCAAGCAATTGGCTTTGACTGCAGATTCTCTAAAGAAATATAGAAAGTCCCGTAGTCAGAAGTCTAAAATTGAAATTTGTGTAGCTATATAACAGGAAGGGCTTTTTTGTTTTGTTTCTCCAAAGCTCAAGTACTGTAGATCAATTTATGTCTCCCAGATTTTTGTCTGAAGAGTTGTCTTGCCACGTTCAACATACTTATAGCCGCATGAGCTGGAAGAGACTTTTTCTCTCTAGTAAAACTGGCTGAAAGCTAGTACTGAAAAAAATATTTGATTTAAAACCCAGTGAGGTATGGTAAAATGTTCACCTTCAAAGTCAGAATTTGTCAACAGTTACCCTATAGTTGGATATGAGATTCCTCTTCTAAATATAGAGCAAAATTGGTAAGAACTATGTGGTAGTTGTTGGCAGTTCTGACTTTTTAATGACTTTGAATTTCACTGAATGTGGGCAGCTCTCCCATGCAGCTTGTGAACTTCACTCAGAAATATTTCTGGAATCTGATACTGTAAAAAGAAAGGAACCTTTGCTAATCAGCACCTATGCCCAGGCAATATTTTCAGTGAATTGAACATTGTGGATTACATGTTTTCTTTTAAGATAGCATTTCTTCCACTAAGTAAGTAGGTAAGTTTTACAGAACCTCTTTTCAAAGGACTACATCCTCTGTCATCTTCTCTCTCATGACTGGATCCCTTTTATTACGAAATGTTACAGCTATGCAAATAACCCCATAATTTACCATTTTGCCAAGATGCTTCATGAATATGATTAGGATGACATTTTTTTCCAAATGAAAAAAGTGACTTGGAATTCCTCCGCTATTTGTTCTCTTCCTCCCCCTGCATCTTTTCCTCCCCAATTTCTCTCTTCTTTCCGATGGAGTAAAGTGACCTAAGGATCATCCCCTACCACTGTGCCCTAATGTGCCATCTATTTTCTAAAGACTAAAAAGCAAGAATCTTTGAAGGTAGATCTCATGTTAGAAAAATCAAGGTTGCTGGTGTACCCCATATCGGTAAACTCCTTTAAATCTCCATGGTCCAACTCACCCTATCTCGTGGTTTCCTATCTCACAGTCAACAGATCTGAGATGGAGAATAGGATGCACATTAGGCATTTAAATATTATGACTAATTTTTTGCTTAGCTCAAGTTTATTCAAAGTTGTATTCAGTTGCTCCTGGGATTCAATGAGTTTGTGAAAGTTGCTGGTAACTGGAGTTCAGAATAAGTAACCCAGGTTTTTGGTATGTTTATATGCAATATTTTACAAGTATTTTATTAGGCTTGTATTTTCTCCTGTCTAGACTGTTGGTGGTACAACTCAAGATAAAAACCCCGAGTTGGAAACTAGTGTGCTATCAGAACAAGAGAAAAATCATTCCAATAGCAGCACTTTGTCTGATAGGAGACTCAGTAACTCTAGTCTTTGCAGCATCGAAGAACAACATCGGACAGTGTATGAGATGGTACAGAGAATTCTGTTGTCCACTCGAGGTTACGTCAATTTTGTTAATGAAGTATTTCGCCAAGTAAGTAGTAGGAGATTATACATACTATTGTATAACTTTAAAAACTGCAGAAGCACATATATAAGTGCACTGTGTGGCTAAGTGTTATGTGAAAGAAAACTGTAAATGCTGCTGAACCAAAAGATTGACTAAACTTCACCATGGTCCCATCTGCAAGTCCTTATCTTTAGAAGTCCTTTCTAAGTCCAGTCCTTAGATGATTATTATTTATAATGTTCCAAATAGAGGAAAGCACCATTTGTTAAAGAAGCTTTCATATATATTATATACAATATTTTAAATATATTCATTAATTCATCTGAAGATGTAGTTTTTAAGCTGGGACATAGGCAGTTAAAAACCATGAAATGTGATATTGTGTTCTGCTATTTCTTAGTGTGACCAGAGAGACTTCCCCCCATCCCCCATGCTTATCACCTTGAGTTTGTTTCCCATTTTCTGATTATAAACTGACTAGTGGTTACCATTGAAAACTTAAAGTAAGTTTAAGATTTTGTATATCTACTTGATAAATTTAGAAGAGGGTTCTGAAATAAGATAACTTGCAAGGGATGCAGGTGAGGAAAACTGTATTATTTATACAATATAACAAGATGCTGTATTAGCATGATTAAAAGAAGTTTTGACATTTGCCAGCATTGAAAATCTCAAACTTTTTTATTTATCAGGATAAATTAGTAATTTGATAGCTGAAGATAAGAAAGTCAAATAGGAATACAAATGTGTTGCTCAGATCAAAATAGCAATTCTGTCACACTTCCCTAGATCATTTAATGCAGCCTTGCATATGAATTTTGATGTTTCGTACACTGGTGCATATAATTAAAACGCATGTAGTGTCTGCTACTGCATATGTGTGTGTAAAGCTGAGTTTGCAAGAAGCTTGCTTCTGCAGCTTTGATCAAAGTAAATTCATAATTTCTATGTAGATAACAGTAAGTGTCATCAATGGATGTTTTCTCTTAGCCCCTGATATTAATTTGCCATCTTTGAAATCTTTTTTTTTTTTTTTTTTTTAAGAGGAAAATATCTGTATGCAGTACAGATGCTTTCTATATTGAAAAAGAGATGGAGGTGATTTGACACTAAAGAATAGTTTGGTATCCTTTATGGAATACTGTGTTATGCTGCCCTCTTCTGGCATGATGATAAATTAGTTCAGCATTCCTTCAAAGTACTTAAAACTTCACTGTATGTTATAGAAATAAAGAACATCACAACAGAAATTTGCTTTGCCTTTTATTTAATATACATATGGATTATGTACTTGAAACAGAGAATAGATTTTTGGTCTGTTTTTTTTCTTTTAAAGAAGGGGAAGTGAGAATCTCTTCTGGTCACTGTGTAAATTAATTCTCATGCTTCTCTTGAACCCTCCCTTTAAGGATGTATATTGAAGCAGTCTTCCCTCCAGCTGATTAGGGCTGAGGACTTCTTAATACTGTCCTATTGTTTTTTACCCCAGGAATGGTTAACTTTAAAGTAGCAGAAGGCCACATGCATTTTTTTTTAAACAGGCTACATATTGCATAACTCAAAAATATTTCCTACAATAGAGCATCTTAACATACAATTAACCATGTATTAACAGTGTAAAACTGAAGTATTTTTAAATATAAAAGTCCCTTATAGCCCAGCCTTTAAATAAATAAATACAAATTAAACTAATCTATAACCTTTTTTTTTCAGTGTGCAGAAGAACAGGGGATTAATAAATGAAAATAACAAAACAAATCTGTCTTAATTTTTTTTCTCTGCCTCTCCCAGTTTCTGCCGCCCCACGGGCACAGGCAAATGGCCACAGACAAATTAGTTGTGGGAGCCAATGGTATGGCAGTAATCAAAGCTGGGTGGCATGGGGCAGAGTTCACCTCCTACGTGAGTAGGCAGCAATTTTACTAAAAGATTGCGCCCCTCAACAACCTGGCTCAATCTTTAAAAAAAGAATTCTTTTTCTGGGGCTGCGACCCCGCCAATGGCTGGACCAAATAAATGGTTTGGTGTTCTGGATGCAGACCCTGGACTGCCAGTTGTCCATGCCAGTTCTAGCCTCTTAATGCTGCACCACATGTTGGTCAGAGGGAATCGTATTGACCAGATATCCAGGTTCCAAGCAAGATGCCACTGCAGTGCTCCCCATCTGGGTAGCTCAGGTGGAAAAAGATTAAGACTGGACTCATTATATCTACTCATTTCAGACTATATTTATGAAAAGTAGGTAACTATTCCATAGTTAGAAGTAAGCCTCTTATAAAACAGACTTTGATCTGCATCATAATATTTGGGGGGGCGGGGAATGGTACATCTGTTGCCAAGATAAAATGTTTCTACCCTATTTGGAGTTAATCACACAAGGTGTGCAATGTTATAAAACATTACAAAATAAATGTTCATCAGAGTCCAAAAAATCTTCTAACTTTGTTTGTTATTACATAGCATGAACACAAAGTGAAAGATAGATAAATTCAGTAATCTGAAGTTTTAACCACTATCGAATGCAGAGGATCAAAGTTTTAGTTCGTTAAATTCTAATTTTAAAGACTACTAAATGTCGAAGTAGGAATTTGATATTGGCATAACAGACTACAGTGATCTTTATGAGGTTCCTCAAGATCTCCTGTTATCCAGTGTCTTTTTCCCAAACAAGGGACATTTCCTTAGATAAATGTTATGGTAGAGTTTAGGTTGAAAGTATATAACTAGGGCTGTCAAGCGATTTAAAAAAATTAATTGCAAATAATCACGTGATTAAAAAAATTAATCATGATTAATCTCACTGTTAATACCATTTGTTTAAATATTTTGGGATGTTTTCTACATTTTCAAATATACTGATTTCAATTACAACACAGAATACAAAGTGTACAGTGCTCACATATTTATTTTTTATGACAAGTATTTGCATTGTAAAAAAACAAAAGAAATAGTATTTTTCAGTTCACCTAATATGAGTACTGTAGTGCAATCTCTTTATCATGAAAGTTGAACTTACAAATGTAGATTATGTACAAAAAACTCGCATTCAAAAATAAAACAATGTAAAATTTTAGAGCCTGCAAGTCCACTCAGTCTTGCTTCTTGTTCAGCCAATTGCTCAGACAAACAAGTTTGTTTATATTTGCAGGAGATAATGCTGCCTGCTTCTTGTTTACAATGTCACCTGAAGGCAGCATTATCTCCCTTAAATGTAAACCAACTTGTTTGTCTTAGCGATTGGCTGAACAAGAAATAGGACTGAGTGGACTTGTAGGCTCTGAAGTTTTATATTGTTTTTAAGTGCAGTCATTTAACAAAAAAAATCTACATTTGTAAGTTGCACTTTCACGACAAAGAGATTGCACTACAGTACTTGTATGAGGTGAACTGAAAAATACTATTTCTTTTGTTTATCATTTTTATAGTGCAAATATTTGTAAGCAAAAATAATATACACTTTGATTTCAGTTACAGCACAGAATACAACATATATGAAAATGTAGAAAAGCATCCAAAATATTTAATACATTTCAATTGGTATTCTATTATTTAACAGTGCAATTAAAATGGCAATTAATCGCGATTAATTTTTTTGAGTTAATCGCGTGAGTTAAATGCGATTAATTGACAGCCGTATATATAACATGTTTTGATGGTCCTCTGGTCCCATTTGAGCCTTACACTATTTGGGGGATTTCACCCTCTGAAGTCTTAGTAGGATTGTCAGGTCCCGTGACCCTACTTAGAAATGTTGTGAAGGGCTGACAGACCTATTTAGAAGTGTTAGGAGCTGATGAGTCTCACAAATTTGGGAGGCTGCCAGCTTAACCTCCCAAGGCTCTTGAATGGTGGACCTTACAGAGAGGCTTCCAGCTGCAGACCATAGAAAGTACGCAAAAAGATGTTGTTCTGTGACCTCAGAAAGTTTAGTAGAAAGCGACAGAATGCCACCTGTTTTTCCCATCCTCCAGGTTATGCCCTTGGTGGCACCCCTTTAACAGCATTTGCCTTAACTGGGATTTTACACGTGACACTGATAACATAATCTGAAATCAGTGGGGTTGCACAGGTTGTGTATCTAAGGGCATAATTTAGTTTACAGAACTTCTATCACTGATAATGATGAGCAAGATGGGAAAAGAACCCAGGTTGAGTTTGCAGAGAGACAGTGAAGAAAAATATCCTTTTACTTGCAGTCTGAGCACATGCAATATGAAAGTCAGCTAAGCTCAATAATTAGCTTGACTAATCAATGATTTGTGAGATGTATTTTTAGGTTGATTTTTATATAGCTTGGTGATAATCATAGCTCTTGATCGTAGTGATTTAAAAGTAGATTTGAAACTATTTTCTTTTGGTCTGTGTAATTTGTAATATTCTGTGTATAGGTAAATTGAGTTAAATTTGCATTTTAGGCTTTTTTGTTGCCTTCCTCTGATATATCTGCAACACGGAAAGTGGTTAAGGTATATAGAAAGTGGATATTGCAAGACAAGCCTGTGTTCATGGAAGAACCAGATAAACAAGAAAATATTCAAGATAATGTGTCCAACTTGGAACATACAGAGACAGATTGCAAACATGTATGGTACCGATCATTACTTACTGTGTACAAGCTGAATGATTGATATTATTCTTATTTGTCTTAATCCTTTTTCATAAAACTGTTTTTTTTAATGATACATATTTGCTTATGCACCTTTTTATTTCTTTAGGTCCAGATTTTGAAATGTGCTGAGCACCCAGCTGCTCTCAACCATGGGTGATTCTGGGTGCTGAGCTGTTTTGAAAATCTGATCTTTAATCTGTCTTTTAACTCTCTGTGTAAATACCATTTTGGATGGACTTAGCGGAACAAATAGTATTACATTCTGCAATGTTGAATTGTTCAGACTACTGGTTTAGTATTCCCTGTTGGCATGAATGTGTTTTTTCTTTTGACAGAAATATTTTAGCATGAGTATACATTAACACAATTAAAATTACAAATATTTGATTATCTAAATCCATCATAAAATCTTGATAAGGGCCCAGCTATATTTGCAGATATTCCATCAATTTTATGATCTGGACCTAAACCCTGGATCCAGACACCCTGAACTTTGGGAAGTTCAGACTCAGATCTGAACTTTGTGGCTTGGGTGCTCATATCTTAATATATTGAACCAGATGTATATGCCCTATTCCGAGGTGTGAAGTTATTTAAAAGGGTATTTCTGCTCATTGGGGAACAAGAGTTAGAATATAAAAATACTTACAGTACCAGTCTTTGCTTAGGCTGTTTTACAGAAAGCTTAAAATTCAACTAATAATTTTTTTTATTTATACAAAAAATTTTAAAAGGGAAATTTTACAGCTATGAATGGGTTATGAAAAGCATTATTAAATATTTTTAAGGTAATATGGACTGCCGTTATACCCTATACAAATTAGATCTCTGAATAAGAGTAACTATTAATAGTTATGCAAATGAGCACAGAACCTATGACTGTTTAAAAAATATTATTTTTTAGCTTTTATATGATCTGTATAGGAATCCATCTTTTATAATCCTGTATTGCTAATTTACTTGTGTTTTTGAAAGCTTCCCTCTGGTCATTCTGGACATAAAAGATCTTCCAGTTGGGGAAGAACTTACTCCTTCTCTAATGCTGTTAGCAGAGGATGTATACTAGAAGATGAAGACAAGAATGTTAAGGCTGGTGCTCAGGCTTCATTACAGGTATGGTATATAGAGAGAACATTAGGTTATCAATTTAAAAATAAATTTGTAATGATTCCATTAAATTGTTTGTGAAGTCAGCAGAAGGGACATTTTTTTTACAAAGATAACAAAGGAATATAAGGTTTCCAATTGCTGTACTAAAGGCTGCAAAGCAGTTTCCATTCTAAGCCAATTTTCACATGCTTATAACTTTCTGAAATATTCACTTAATCTTTGCTCAAAGATGAATGTTTCTGGGGTAAGTTTAAGTAAAATTCATGAAGTCATTTGGGCATTTATTGGGTAAAAAAAAAGCTTACTCATTTGCATGTTCAGTCTTCTCAGCACTAGTAACAATGAGGACGAGTCCGCTGCTAAGCTCTAGCAAGTCTCTACTGAGCATGTGCAAACTGCAATTTTTCAAAGGCCTATAACTTGGCCAAATTTGCGCAAACTTTCACAAACATGGCAAAAGACTGATCCCTGACACAATGGCTCCTCCCTACCAAATTTCAAGTCCCTGCTCCAAAGCATGGGGGTGTTAGAGTATTTCAAATGAAAGGTTGCCAAAATCTTTTAACGTGGGCAAAATAATATAATTTTTACTAGCTTCATTCTCAAAATGGCGGAATCATTTTGGCTGAAAATTTCCAAAACTATTCAGCCTGGCGAAGACACCTGACCTGAAAAATTTCAGCCCAGATGGTTAGAGGTTGGGTTTCTTATTTATTTATTTATGTTATGACAAAGTCATTAACAATTGAAAACAAGATTTATAATGGGAAGTGCCAGGCAACCTTAATAGTAGGTGGTATTCTCAGATCTTCCTACGATATTGGAATTCAGAGCTAAGAGATTATTTTAGAGGGTTCTGGTGATAAAATAAACAAAAAAAGTGAAGTTTAAAGTGTGAATTTATACTGAAAAGTGACAAAATATGCTTTTGTGTAGATCCATGTTTATTATTGCTGCTGTAAGTACGAAAGAAGCCTAGTTTCTTTCTTGTCAAGTTGACTTTTTCAGTTAGTTTTTGATGTTTCCTTAAATGTTATTTAATAATTAAGCCAGAGATTATATAGAATCGCTTTATAATTCTGAACCATGTGCACAAGTAAAAATTAGTCACACTATTAATATTAAGAAATTGAAATGTGGGGTGTGTAAGTTTGCTTCCCCCAAAAATCCCACCCTTCAGAAAGTGTTGTTTTTATATTGGTCTCCCACTATATTCCAAACAGCTGGACTCTCCATCCCAGCAGATAGGAAACATATATCATTACTGATTATTCAGAGGACGTGAACAGTAGAATCCCTGGTGATTTTAAGGATATTATCTAGTATTTAGCATGATAAGCAGCATAGGACATAACTTTCATGTAGCCCAAATAGCTGAGAGAAAGTTTTATTATTTTCTCTCTACAGCCTGAATTGTTTTGGGGCATGCAACTGCACTGTGCTCACTTCAGCTGATCTGAGTCTCTCCCTTTTCAGTCTGCATATCTGACCAGATAACTGAAGTGACACAGCTTTTATTAGGTTATAGTGTTCAGTCACTTGTACAGCTTAGGGATCATACAGGTAGGATCAGCAGAAGTAGTAGCTATGAACTGGACACTTTGTAATACCCATAGAAAGGAAGTACCTGTTGATCAAAATATGAACTTTTTTTCTTATCTCTTTGCAGAAATACTTGATAGGGAAAGCATAAAATTCAGTCAGGCAGATTAATATTACTAGTATATATAAGTCAAGATGATCAGTCAAGAAACAAATATGTCAGAGGAAGGTCACAGAGCTAGCTATCTAGAATTTAAAGACAAATCTACTTGCAATATCAACAATCAGGAGGTGACATTCTGAGCACGACAGCAAACTAACTGAGCAGGTAAAATTCACTGCAGTAGTAAAGCAGCTCAACAGAGAGTTTGTTCTTAGGTGTTGCAAAATGTAAGGGAAACAAAAGAGACTGTGTCATATATGAGTAATGCAATTTACCCCATCTTTTAATCCAAACTACAGATTTGTAGTCCATGGAGCTATATTTTGTTTTTCAAGGGAAAACATAATTTGGTTTATGCAGTTTCTTCATCACCTCCTTTCTTTTGAACTCCATTAAAAAAATGGCTAAATGTACAGTAACCCTAATTACTCTGGGTTAGCCTTTGGGACTTTCTGGGGTCCCATTCTGTGTACCTAGCAATAAATGACCTGCTTAAGTAGTCTGTGATGAAAGACCTTTTCTGCTAATATGCTGTCATTCCAGTTTCAAAATGCTGTCTTTGATGGCTGTGTTTTGAGAAAATGATCCTAGTTAATGGCCCTCCAACTTAAATTAAGGTCAGTGGGAGTCCTTTCATTAACCTTACAGATGTTGGATTGGACCCTAAAAGAGGACACTCAATTAAAGTGGTCAGAATGCATTTACATGCCAGAAACCACCGTGTACCTTCTCTTGCTGTGCAAAAATGGAGTTCTGGTTAATGTAAACAATAATTCCAGATTTTTTTTTTTGAAGGAGCGCTTGGATAAAGCTCCTTTTGTTTGTGCTCTCAGATGTCAGAAAGCAATTGTTAGAGGAGTTGAGCATTTTCATGGATTACCTTGTGAACAATTGGACTTCTCTCTTTTTAAAAAAAATTCATATTAACTGTGTTCCTATCTTGCAGAACCAGACACCAGTTCTAGAGACATTAGAACACTAGACAGTTAGACACTGTTTCTATACTTGTGGAGTTGGGAATTACTCAGAAATCTGTACATTTGCCGGTGCTGAATGTAAATGATCAAAAATATCGGTGGCCATTGTTTAAATATGTATAGCTAGAAAATGGGTTGGGAGGGGAAGAATACCCCCATGTGGTAGAATGGAAAAGACAAGCATCTAAAAGATCAAGAATATGTTATATTTTTTCTATAATAGTGAATATAACATGACTCTCTTCTTTTAAATGGTGTGGGAGAACTTAAAGAAAATAGTGTGTTAGATAATATAACATATCCTTCTTTAAGGAAAGATAAGGGTTTGGTTAGAAGAGGAAAAAATGTTTGTTTTGAAAGTTAACCGTTGGTCTTGTTTGATAGTGTATAAACTTATTTTTTCCTAATTAAAATGCTTGGTTTTCAAGGTGTTTTTGACGAACTCTGCGAATGTTTTTTTATTGGAACCATGTGCTGAAGTCCCTGCTCTCCTGAAGGAACAAGTTGATGCTTGCAAAGCAGTTTTGAGTATTTTTAGGCACATGATAATGGAACTTTCAATGAATAAAAAGACATGGTAAGTTTTACTAAATTAATTAATAGTATAACCACTGCTAGAATTTTAAGACTGAATAATTGAAAAAAGATGAAGGAATTTCCATAACATTTTAGTTCTTTAATGTTTCTTTTTGTGCCTTTGTAAAAAGTATGATAAGATTGTACTTATTCTGTAAGACGGTTCATGATTCCACTGGGGGGAAAATTCCTAAAATACTGAATGTAAGAGATTTTTGTTTAAAGTTTTTGCTTATGTAACCTTCCGTTTTACTGTTCTTAGCTCAAATTTGATTCTTGTTCAAACTAAATTTTCAACATTTAATAATACAGTTTATTCAAATCTTGAAATGCTTAGTATAGATAAGTTAAAAACTAATTTAAGAAAGCTTTTCTTACTATACACATTCTGTGGCTAGCTAGTGCTGCCAGATGCTTTATAATCACTAAATACATGCAAATGTGTGCATGTTTGCATGGGTTTGCGCACACATGCACCTAACTGTACATTTAATCAATCAGTGGAATTTAAAATAAACACGTTTGTCTTTCTAATGCTAATTGGACTAATTTTGTTTGTCAATATATGTAAAACATTACACACACAAAATTGGTAAAAGAACATTACTAGAGGGTCACACACTTTGTTGCTTCTCTAGGCCAAGTGCATCCTTCCATTCCCCCTCCCCTCCAAAAGCTCCTGGTGTGCCACTACCCTCCCATCTCACTCTATTTCTGGAACACCTAGCAACCCCTCCCTCATGTCAGGGTCTCAGTATGCCCCACATTACCCCCTCACCACATGTAAAGGTCTGTATGTATCTGACTTTCCCCATCCCCCAATTCACACCACCACGTGAGGGGCTCTGTGCTCCCCATGCTAGGGACTCTGCCCCCTTTTCCCCCCTCTGTGTGTACTACCATCCTGTCACCTCACCCTCATTCTTATTTCTTTTCTTTACAGTCTGGGAGAGAAATCTTTCAGGGTTTAAATCTGTATTGGGAAGATGGGCAGAGCTAAAATGGGGGGGTGCTGGAATGTGTTAATGGCTGTCATGAACTGGTTCTTTGATCTGTAGACATGCATAAAGGTGGTTGAAGCTGCTGGCTCTGCTAACCAGATGACAGGAGCTCCATGTGTGATGTGTCCCCATTTCCCCCTTTTGGCTTTTCCAATTTTCATCAAATCAATAGGGTTATAGCCATCGATACCTAGAACATTCCCTTAAATTTTGGAATTGATTGGACTCTGTATTCAAAAGTTATTGCATTATAGGCAGACAGATAGGAATGCCATTGAGTTGAGTGTAAGACCTTGCTTCACTCAGCCAATTGCGAAATCAAGCACTCAAAAATTAGGAAATACCAGAATTGATGTGCAACCTTAATTCTGCCCCTTCATGTGTGTGTGCTTTGTCATGATACAGTCTCACCAGATTCCTTGTCCCAATCTACTCCTGTCCTTCCCCCCCAGTTCAGTTTTTGTCCCTCAACATTTGACTCAGATTTCTACCTCCTGTACGTTGCTTAGATGCCAGCAAGCGGTCATTGAGAAGGAGGGTCTCTGCTCTTGGGTCTGGTCCCTGGCCCAGATTGCATGTGCAGTCTGGTCAGCACTAAGCTGTGAGAGGATGGAGTATGCTCAGTCACTTTGTGGGGATGGGGCATCTTCAGAGATTTTACCTGCAAACCTCTAACAAGTCTACTGAGTATGTGGAAACTGATTGATTAAAGTCCTATAACTTGGACATATTTGGGCCGATTTTAATTGGGATAGTAAAAGGTACATCTTTGACACAAAGGCTACCCCTGCCAGATTTCAAGTTCCTGCTCCAAAGCATGAGGAGCGAGAGCTGCTCAAAGAACAGGTCTCAAGAATTTTGTAATGTCTGCAAAACAATATATTTTCCCCAACCATTTTCCCAAAAAGTTTCCCTGAAGTTTGGCAAAGTTATAAGCAATTGAAAAGGGGGTCTTATAATGGAAAGAGTCAGGCAACCTTAATCGCTGCCACCAGCTCCACTGATCTATCACTCTGTAGTTTTTGTCACATTTTTGTCAGCTTATGGAAACATTTAGTTTCAATGCCTAGTAATGTCCTTAGTGTATAATAAAGAGTTATCATCCTTCAGTACATTCAATTCTCCCTGTGCTCACAATGAACTGTGCCTTGGAAATCTTTGGGGATAGCGATTTCATACTTTCTCGACCTTGACTTTGGGGACCAGGCTGTTACTTCCACTCCTGACTTGGCTTCCTCTAAAAATGAAAGTTTTTTTTTTTTTCCCCCCCCTCTGTGAGGTGCTCCAAAAGTGATGATCCTCAACATAAGTCTCCACATACAGATATGGTTGTCTTAAAGGTGACTTACAAAGTGTTTTTGAGTATTGTCACATTTTCAGTTTGAGAGACTTTATCAATGAATTAAGAGTAGTTTTCATATCTAGAAACTGAACAAGTAAGATTAATAAAACTTGTAATTGAAATGTGAGGTTTTATTTTGGCACCAGGGAACAGATGTTACAAATACTCCTGCGAATAACAGAAGGTGTCATGCAGAAGCCAAAGGATAACCAAGTAAAGGACATGTTTGCTCAAAGCTTGGCAGGATTACTTTTCAGGGTAAGTGCCTTTCTTTTTGATAAGAAAATGTAAAACTGAAATTGAGTGCTATTTTTGTTCTTTTAAAAGTGTTTTCAAAGAATGGAAAGTAAATTTCAATGACAGTTTATTTTATATCAGAAGTGGGTTTTTCATGATATAATTTTATGCCATTCAAAAAGGTATGGTTTTATTTAAATATTGCGCTGTATTACAAAAAATACTATCTATAACCCATAAAATATTGACTCTTGTTAATAGTACAGTTTAGGGTATCAGGTACTCTATCCTTTGTAGAATGTAGCCACTAGAGGAAGACTTGAGCGGGTCTGTCAGTCTGTCCGGTATACTTGTATATTTTAGTAGGCAAATGTTGTATGTTGTTGTTACAGGATCTGCTTTTGTTACTATTGCAAGGTACAGGATGTACTCAAAATTTGCATTTCCCTTATGTTCACTGATCCCTTATTTACATGTGCTGGGTAGGTTTTCTGTTGTTTAGTCATCATGGTAGTTTATTGCTTTCTGTTCATTTTGCCCCCTTGTGGTCACACAATATTTATTTTCATATGAACTTAACTTGAATACTTTAATAAAATAGCATATAAAGTGTACCATAGTCAAGACATGCCCCTTTTGTAGGACAGCTGTATCTTTGCAGGACTACTCTAATCATTGTCTCTAAAATCTGAGCTTTTTGTAATTGTTTCCTAAAGGTAAATTAATATCTAGCAAGCCAAAATGCTGTATTATGCTGAACCAGAGAAAAATATTCATAAGTCATCTAGTAAGTAGTTACATCCTAAGGTATAATAAATATCTAGGTCTGTGCACTGTGTATCTCAGAGTTTTTATGTGTAGCATTATGTTCATCCTGAGGTTGTGTGGAGGAGCTTTGCACCCTGTGCTTTTTGTCATGCTGATAATTCTCCGTATCAATGAATTATTTCAGGTTTCATAAATAAAGCGTGTTACGAACAAGTGTAGAATTTTTCAGCAAGTTCATATGAGTCATATTGGCAACCTAGGAGCTATATTCCAGCTTTCATAAATTTCCTTCATCAGTAACCTTCACAGTTATTCACTCAGCAAGATCCTTGGAAGTTTTTGGATTGATTAAAAATTAAAACATGTACTGCATAATTTTTAGACAAAACAAACAAACAAAAATCCCAACAGTACCACCCAAAATAATTAAGATGGATATAAGGTGAAGAGTATGTGTCAGTAATTTACAAGTAAAAACATTACAAGGATGTTGTAATTAACCCAAAACCAAGCATGTATAAACCCAGGAAATTCAAAATTGTTACACTTAATAGAAATCTAAATACATTAAGGTGAAAAATGAGTTAAATCACCCAAACACCCTTAACTCTACCATATTGTGACCGTAAGCAATAACCATAATGATGAGGATTAAGTCATTTTAGCGTTTGTTGCCTCAGGCTGCGTAGATGAAACAAATTTTTAAAGATGTTTTATTTTTCTGTCCCTTGTGACATCATTGTAGGACAGAGTTAATTTTGTTTGGGTGCCTTACCTGTGTATCTTTATACACAGTTGCATGTTACATGTCAGAAGCTATTCGAGATTACAGTCAGTCACCTCAATGTGAATAGGACAACTTTGTCTTGTGTATAAATTGGTCTACTTGGACTCCTAAATTGATGGATATATGATGTATTTCTGTTTCTAATTATTTCAGATTTAGAGAATTCTCTGGTATCAGTCATATTATTTAAAGTGTTTAGACACCAAATTGGTCTATGTATATTCCTGGATTTACAAGCGACTTGAGTGACCTATTCCTTCCTAAAATGATGATGAAATTCCACCATCAAAGTAGTAATCTTAACTTCCTTTTTAAAAATAGTCTTATAGGAGATTGACAATAACATTCCCCCTACCAATTATGTTTAATTTCTTTTTAGTAAGAAATTTTCCTATAGCTTATGAAAGTAATTTAAATAGCACATTGTGGCACAACATTGTGTGTACCAGCATCTATAAAGTTTCAGGATACTGTGATTCTGTTAATTTCTTAACATCATTCAAGTTACATCCAGTAAGCCAAATCAAGTATTTTTCTAGAAAAGAATACAAGCAGAAGGGAAGGAAAACTGAGTCAGAAAATTTAATGGAACTATACTCAGAAATCAATAGAAAAAAGAAAATGAGGAGGAGCTGGAAATGAATTTTTTTCTGTGATTTTTTTTTTTTCAAAAATCATAACAGAACACGTATAAAATAGATTGGTTTTCTTCTTTTTGAGTACACAGAAACATTGCTCAAGACAAAATATAAAAATAAATGTAACCTTTTATCTTCTTTTAATCAGCATCCTCAGCTTTGAAAAGTTGGATCTCTAGCACCACCTTCTGGCTATTATATGTTCATTTTCTGCATAGACTGCTTTTCCATTATAATTTTGTTCCAAACTATACTTTCCACAAACTGGTTAAATTAATATCTGCAATAAAGAAAGGGTTGCTAATTAGTAACTGATGTCACAGTAGAGCCACATCCAAAAAACAGTACCGTTGTATAAATGTCTGTTTCATATAACTTCGCATTTAATTTCTAACGTAAACGTAATTTATAGCAATTTTTTTAAATGGCTGTATTTAAAAAAAGTTCCATGTTGGAGTTAATGGTTGCTGGGGCCATACTAGCATCTCCAGCCTTTAATTGTTTATGTTGTAATTAGATTTCTTAAATGGAATAATTTAATGGAATTTCTTAAATGCAAAGTAATTATTCGTCTTTTCTTCTTTGAGTGACTGTGCATGTGTATTCCACTTCTGGTGTGCATGCTCCCCAAATTCTTTTGTCCAGAGAAGTGTCCATTGAGGCCAATCCTGTGCCCTGGGTGCCATTGTATCTCCCCCTTCCATCGGAAGGCATAAAGGGCAAAGCAGGCTAAAACAAAGTCCCAGGGGCTCAAAACTTGTCCCTCCTGTGATGCAGCTATTTCACGTAAGGCACATGCCTGATAAATGCTCAATCTGTCATTCCTTCTCCAGGAGGACACAAAAGATAGGAGCGCTCTATGAGAGCCTCCTCAGAACCAGAGAAAACACTCCAGCGAGGGCTGAACAGGTTTCCACAGTTAGTGCTCCTGGAAGTGACAGCTCAGATCCAAGACTCCAAGGCTCACAGTTCATCAAAAAGTTCAGACCCTTCAACAATCAGAGCAGTGGGGAAGCTAAGTCCTCCTCCACTCAGTTATCTGAAAGGAATAGGAACAAATGTTATTTCCACAGCGAGTGCAGGCCAAGGTTACCCTTAGTGGAACCTATTAAAATGGGGCATAAATCTCCTCACTACTTAGCAAAAAGGTCTAAATTGAGTCCCTCCGTCACCTTGACAAAAACCCATCACTGAGCACACTTGGTAGCCTTTGAGACAATGTTCCGCACTTCACTGATCCCAATCTCTTGGTACTGACATCACCTCACATAGTGCTGATGACATGTGCTCCTCAACTCCAGTGCTGAACCCATTGATTCTTCCAGCACCAACGTTCCTGGCACCCACGTTATTTTCAGGACTAAATGATCTTGCGGTGACTGCTCAATCTGAGTTACTATGACTCTCCTCAGCTCTTAGTGCCCTGTATCATTACTGTTACAGTATCAGCCAGCTCTTCAGCTCTGGTGGTGGGGAAAGAAAGACATGGCAGTCTCTTTTCCTGTAGAAGCAGGGGGAAGGAAGATAGAATCAAATGAAAGAGGGGAGCTACTCCTTCCCATTTCTACATTCCATGGACAAAAGTCCTGAACCTTCCCCCTCTCCCACACAGAATTAAGCCCTGATGTGCTGCTGAAATAAGGGGGCATTATTGCTGCAGAATTTTCTCTCTTTTTATAGTTCTTTTCTTGTTAGCTGCTAAACTCATTTAACTCCCATGAAACCATGTTTTCTGTTTGTAGTTCCTCATAATTTTTCACTAACAGCCTCAGGAAGTGGCAACTTCTGAAAGTAAAGAATAACAGAAGGAAAGAAAGAAAACTCATATTAGTGACTGGAAATTAAAAATGTGATGATAAGCTGTTACAAAAGTCTAAATTCTCTTGGTCTTTGGACATGCATTTCCAAATTTTTAATTCTGTACTTTTTAGAAATGTACAAAATGTCATTGCTTTCCTATTTCCCAGACTCTTATTGTGGCTTGGATCCGAGCAAATCTGAGTGTTTACATTTCTCGAGAACTCTGGGATGAGCTGCTCAGCATACTGTCTTCCCTTACTGACTGGGAGGAGCTGATAACTGAATGGGCCAATATCATGGATTCTCTAACGGCAGTGTTAGCAAGAATGGTGTATGGAGTTGAAATGACAAACTTACCACTGGATAAACTAAGTGAGCAAAAGGAAAAAAAACAAAGAGGCAAAGGTAAAGTCTCTCTTCTTTAGTGTATTTTATGTTAAATAAGTTAAGATATTCAAACTTAGTTGGACTATATTAGATTTTCAAGTGTAACTTAAACATTATGGTTCTTTACACATTGTAAAGATTCATTTGAAAAAATGCACTCCATTTTACTTTACTTAGTATTATTTCATGCAAAAATATTGAGCATTTGCATTAGTAAGATACTTATACTGATCTGTTTTTATAAAAACTTTTTAAAAAATGTGGATGGGTGTTTAGGGGCTTAACACCAGTCTCCGCTGCAGTAGGAATGGAGCATGGCTGCTTGTGCTGGAATCTGTGCATAGCCACCGACACTAGAAATCCTTTTCAATATAATTTAATTTTATTGCATTTTATTTTAATAAACCTGTTTAAGTAACAGTCTGGGGGTCAATGGAGGATTTTGTGTGCAGTCTTGTGAATCTTTGCACTGCTTTCGTAGCAATTTACAATAATTAACTAATTGAACCATCTTAGTGAACATGGATAGAGCTCTGTGAGATAGATAAATGTAATTCCCATTTTACAGGTGGGAAAACTAAGGCAAAAAGACCCAAGGTGAGACCCTTTCCATGCACCAACCCTCTTATGCTGGATAAAAGGGCCAGAGCAGCATAGAGGGCCTTATAGGCCTATAATTTGCCAGGGGACTATTCACTGGGCACAGGCACTATGGAAGATAGCCTTAAGGCTGTCCTGCAAGGACTTTCTCACAAGCCAGGGGTCAGGGCTGACACCAGGAGGAGCATGTTTTAGGGGGGCAGGGATGAAGCCCATAGGGTAATCCCAGGAGGTTTCCATAATTTAGGTAGACCCCTAGGTTTGTCTAAGTTACACCAGAGGCCTCTCTAGCTCCTGAAGCAACTTAGGATCAGGAGAGTGCAAAGGTGACTTAGTCATCTTAGCATCTCCTCCCTCTGGGCTGCAAGGTCTTTATTGTGTCTTAGAGGTACAACACAGAATTTCATCCCTAAGATTTGCCCAAGACAATAAAGAGAGTTAATATTAGAACCAGGATTAAAACACAGGAATCCCTTACTCTCACTTCTGTGTTTAGTCTGCTTTACCAGGTTGCTGCTTCTAACTCTACTGAAACGTCACCAGGTGTGGGCAGAGGCCTCACTGGTAGCTCAGCAGATGAGCCAGTTCAACTGCAGGCAGTTAGCCAGGGAGAAGCTTGAATTGACCTTACACGCTTAATGACAGTACTGCCCACCCCTTACCTCAAGCCATTATTTGTTCTGGGGTCTCCCTCAAAAATCAGAGGTCCAATTTCACAACTCCCAAAGGCCAGCCCTGGGTGATGACCATGAATAATCTGAGATTCAGAAAAAATAACTAACAAGCTTTTAGATCTAGTGATGAGTTTACAGTTTTCTCTGCCACCTCCATAAAAGGAATAGGGTTTAGAAGCATATAGACCAAGATTATTAAAAAATGGGTGTCTAAAGTTAGACATCTAAATAAGTGGCGTGATTTTCAAAAATGCCAACCACCCACTGAAATCAGTGGGAGGTACAGGTTCTGAACTTTAGCACCCTTATTTTTAAATTTGGTCATAGATTAATCTTAACACTTAGACATCCTGAAAATCAGGGAATTGGATAGGGGGAGCAAGGTGGACTGTCAATGCCAGTGACTTGATTCTTGAATTTAAATTAAGGAACACTCAATACAATGCGGTGTTATTGTAGAAACCTATTTTGACTCTTGATTAAGTCCTGACACTTTGAGTTCTGGCCAAGTGACAAATTACTGTACATGAAAATAAATCAATTTAATGGCTCAACTTTCAGTACATCATTCTGTGCCGATGACACTATCTATAACTATGTTATTTGAGAAAATGAATAGAAAGAAGAAACAATGGGAGAAATTGTACTACATGAGCTTTGTGGTACAACTTCTCCACAGTTGACATCTCTTAAATTATTTTGAATAATATTTTTCTGCCAAAAATAATAGGTTTAAAACGTGTCCCATTTTAGTTCCTTTTTGTAGAAACACTTAACTCTATGTAGTAAGCATAGTATTAATTGTAAATGTTCTAGATTGATGTTGCTTTTGCTTTCTTTATCTCAAAGGTGGCATCTCAGATCCTCAAAAGGCAACTACAGTGGGACGATCATTTTCATTAAGCTGGAGAAGTCATCCTGAAGTTGTGGAACCAATGAGATTCAGGAGTGCTACTACCTCTGGAGCACCAGGAGTCGAGAAAGCAAGAAACATAGTCCGACAAAGAGCAACAGGTTAGGCACTGGCTGCTTTAACATCTTAATTGTAAATTGAAAGATCAACATTTATAAAACTGAAATTATTTTAAAAGCTATTCTCGTGACTTTTAATTAGGAATAAATGTTTGCAAATTTGTCTCTAAATCTTTTTCTTCACTTTTCTTATACCTTGAAAGAGAGGTCAATTTTATTTACTTCAGGATCCTTTTAGTCAAACATACTATGATTATATAAAATAGGAAAGATTTATTGATTACTGAGGTAGGACACAATGATTTAATATTTTGTTGAGTATTTTTTTTTTTAATGGGCTAGATAATAAAGAATGATTGGCTAAGTATTGTGAACTATATAGATATACTATACTAATGTATTTGTTCAAGATAGGACTTTTTAGCCAGCATGACTACCTTTCAGACATTTAGAATAACTTTTTATAAAAGCAATAACTCATGTCGTCACAGGCCACTGTTCCCAGGAAAAGTCAGCATTCACTAGTGAATCAAGACACTTTGGCTTCATTCCTTAAAACTTTGCTCAGACTTTCAAGCATTCAAGTACTGGTACAAATACCCAGATTATCATGTCCTTCTGATGTTTACATATATTCTGTGCAAAAAAATCTGTTAGTGTAGTATTAAGATACTGTATTTTCTGGCTTTAAAACTGTATGTGTTCACAATAATCTTTCTTGCTGCTTTTACCAGATCTGAATTGTAAAACACCCTTGGATTTTTTTGGTGAATGATTGTGTTTGAAAATATTTTAGTGTATTCATTATGAATAGGTTCTTTTATGTATATAGAACAGGAGTACTTGTGGCACCTTAGAGACTAGCAAATTTATTAGAGCATAAGCTTTCGTGGGCTACAACCCACTTCTTCGGATGCATATAGAGTGAAACATATATTGAGGAGATATATATACACACATACAGAGAGCATGAACAGGTGGGAGTTGTCTTACCCACTCTGAGAGGCCAATTAAGTAAGAGAAAAAAAACTTTTGAAGTGATAATCAAGATAGCTCAGTACAGACAGTTTGATAAGAAGCAAGTGTGAAAATACTTACAAGGGGAGATAGATTCAATGTTTGTAATGGCTCAGCCATTCCCAGTCTTTATTTAATCCTGAGTTGATTGTGTCTAGTTTGCATATCAATTCCAGCTCAGCAGTCTCTCGTTGGAGTCTGTTTTTGAAGTTTTTCTGTTTTAAGATAGCCACCCGCAGGTCTGTCATAGAATGGCCAGACAGGTTAAAGTGTTCTCCCACTGGTTTTTGAGTATTATGATTCCTGATGTCAGATTTGTGTCCATTAATTCTTTTGCGTAGAGACTGTCCGGTTTGGCCAATGTACATGGCAGAGGGGCATTGCTGGCACATGATGGCATATATCACATTGGTAGATGTGCAGGTGAACGAGCCCCTGATGGTATGGCTGATGTGATTAGGCCCTATGATGATGTCACTTGAATAGATATGTGGACAGAGTTGGCATCGGGCTTTGTTACAAGGATAGGTTCCTGGGTCAGTGTTTTTGTTCAGTGATGTGTGGTTGCTGGTGAGTATTTGCTTTAGGTTGGGGGGTTGTCTGTAAGCGAGGACAGGTCTGTCTCCCAAGATCTGTGTGAGTAAAGAATCATCTTTCAGGATAGGTTGTAGATCTCTGATGATGCGCTGGAGAGGTTTTAGTTGGGGGCTGAAGGTGACAGCTAGTGGTGTTCTGTTATTTTCTTTGTTGGCCCTGTCTTGTAGGAGGTGACTTCTGGGTACTCGTCTGGCTCTGTCAATCTGTTTTTTCACTTCAGCAGGTGGGTACTGTAGTTTTAAGAATGCTTGATAGAGATCTTGTAGGTGCTTGTCTCTATCTGAGGGATTGGAGCAAATGCGGTTATATCTTAGAGCTTGGCCATGTTTCACTCTATATGCATCCGAAGAAGTGGGTTGTAGCCCACGAAAGCTTATGCTCTAATAAATTTGTTAGTCTCTAAGGTGTCACAAGTACTCCTGTTCTTTTTGCGGATACAGACTAACACGGCTGCTACTCTGAAACCTGTCTTTATGTATATACTAAATTCTGGACTACACGACTTAGTATTTGGTAAATATTATATGGAGGTGTAGAAATACTTTAAAGTTTCATTAAACAGTTATAGTACCTGTAAATTAAGCAAGTAAAACAAGAAAATTAATGAGAGGTTTACAGACTACTAGGAAATATATAATACCTACTATTGGGGAATTCTCTTACTACAATCAATTAAAAAGTGCTGCAAAACTAAGCCATTTTCCATAAAATAGTGTATTTGTATAACTGTAAAAATATCAAACAGTTAATAAATAGTTATGGAATAGTCTAGCATTTTTACAACCTAAGAAAAATCTCTTATTTTAATAATTCTAAAATGTCATCTTTTCATGAAAATATTTTTAAATGATCATTCTTTGTATTTAGTCGTACTTAACATCCATACCTATATCCCTTTGTATACTTTATTACATCTTACACTTTCTCAATATAGAAACCTTTTTAAAATTTGTTTTGTGATTTCTCTAAAGTGAAATATACATCTGTAGCACAAGTTTTCAAAAATGGGTACCCAAATTAAGCTCTTAAATCCATATTTTAGGTGCCTGAATAAGTTACCTGATTTTCAACAGTGCTGAGTTCCCAGCATTTTTGAAAATAAGGCCAAGTAAATATGTACGGTAGCGCAATACGTATGTACAGTAGCTCGGTGTTCTCCCATTTTCTTTTTCTCTGTTTCTTCTATAAAGAAAGAGAAAATGAGAAAAATAAGAGGAGAGTGAGGGCAGGTCAGGGAGTGAGGATGATGGAAGAGTCTCCCTGAGTCCCCAGATGCAGAAGAGAATACACGGTTTTCAAACACTCCAGATAATAGATTGTCTTTCTCTGATTTGATGGTCACAAGTGCCGCTCATTCCAGTTCAATGGGCCATCAAGCAGCAGCCACAGCAGATGTTCATTACTGCTTTTGAGTAAGGGATATTCCACTGCACAGCATCTCTCCTCATTCATAACAAATGGGTATCTCATTGTTGAATTTGGAGACAGTCCATTATTGTTGCTGGAGGCTCCAGGACTAGGCCCTGCCCTCCAGGTCAGATCACCAGAATTTCAGTCTCTCATAATAGAAACAAGTTGGTGGTTCAATTTCTCCTAACCACTTCATTATAACTTCAATTTCTTCTTCAAGTAGTGTCCCTATTAGTGCTCCATTCCAGGTGCGCATGCGCCTCTCGAGCCCTTGATTGGCGATTTCTAGCTAGTTGTGCCTGTTCATCCCACGCATGTGCCCTATGCCTCCTCGTGGCAGACTCTGAGGCTATAGAGGAGGGTGTGGAAGAACAACCTCAGTTCTTTCTCTACAGCCTCGGCCTGAGACACAACACTAGTGTGTCTGCCTAGAGCATACGTGGCCTTTCTCTTTACTTTTTCTATTAAAGTTAGTTTAGTGTTGTTGTTAGTGTTAGTATATTTAGTTTAGGTGAGAGGACTGTTTTCTCTCTTCCTCAGGGAGACTTGTCTTCTCTTAGGGGGTGTGCCTGGTTTGCCAGGCTTCAAATGTTGTCTCTCCTGCCGGGAGGCTATGCCAGTGAGCGATGGAGACTCCAAGTGGCTCTGTTGTCTGGAAGAGTCCCATATTTCCCAGAAGTGCTCCTTTTGATTAGTCCTTAAGTCCAGGGCTAGGAAGAACAGGGAGATAAGGCTCAGACTTATTGGCAATGGAGCGTTCCCTGCAATTGCCCTCTGAGCCAGGTCAAGAGATCACATCCAGATTTCAGCAGCTTACCTTACAGGCATCCATGACTACAAATGGGAGCTGGACCCGCAGGTCCCCCAGGACATATTCCGGAGATGGGGACAGCCAGAGATTGATCTTTATGCCAACTCCGAGAACAGGAAGTATTCTCTCTTCTGTTTAAGGGGAGGTCTGGATCCTTGCTCCCTGGGGGACACCCTCCTTGTTCCATGGAAGAGTCGTCTGTTCTATGCCTTTTCTCTGATGCCCCTAATTCCAAGGTTGATGAACAGGATCAGGCAGTCCAAGGCCAGAGTTATTTTCATAGTACCTACCTGACTGAGACAACCTTGGTACCATTACCTGCTTTTAGCTCCGAGTACAGCCACTGATCAAGCTCCCGACAGTTCCCCATCTCCTGTCTCAGGATGTGGGTCACGCGATTCAGCCCAACCTGGTGGTTCTACATCTCAGAGCCTGACTCCTGAAGGTTCTCATAAATAGAGATTTCCTGCTCCAGAGCGGTGCAGCAGCTGTTATTACACAGCATGACATCTGCCTTCACTGCTTACCTGCAGAAACAGAAGAGATTTGTCCACTGGTGCGGTTGCTACCTCTGGTCTGAGTTGGTTCCCCTTTCCTTCATCATGGATTACGTGTTGGATCTGAAGACATCCAGATTATTCATCAACTCAGTCAAGGTTCACCTGGCTGGCGTACCAGCCTTCCATCCCCCGATGGAGGGATTCTCCATTTTTGCTCACCCGTATCATCCAGATTTATTAAGGGTCTGCATAATCTCTTCCCCCACAATAGAGATATGTAGAGTTGCTACCTGATCTTCAATCCATATATTTTCAGAGCATTACACCCCACTCCATGCCATCAAATACGATGTAGCACTCGGCTCTGTGATACTATCTTCAGTTCTAGGTCCTGTTCCAAAGGCAAACCCCCCTCCCCCCCGCGCCGCCTTTTCCTCCTTCTGGGGATATTGCTCAGAAGTCACAGAGCCACTACTCAAAGAAAAAAGGAAATGTTACTCAACCTGTGCAGTAACTGTAGTTCTTTGAGGTATGTGGGTTCTTCATTACCTGCCCTCCTTTCTCTGTGCTTCAGTCATTCTTTAGATGATGACAGAGTAGAAAAAGAACTGAGTGTAGTTCGCCCATGCACCCCTATATAAGCTTGGTGTCTGCCACGAGGCGGGACAGAGTGAGAGTATGTGCTGAACAGGGACTGCTAGCTAGAA